CGGCAACTCTCGAGTCACCAAGCGAAAGTTTAATTAGAATGTGTCAGTCTTCAAGCTCATTTCCACCTTTCCCTACCAACCCCTAGTGATCCAGGGGAAATCGGTCCAAAAACTTGAAGGTTCTAAGCCCCTCCTGAATATCGTCGGCAAAGTTATCGCTGACCGTCTGAGCGACATACACGCCGTCCCGAGAGGTAGCAATCCCCGCGTTACGGAGAGCAGTTGTGCCGCTTCCTAGAGCACCAACAGTCTTGCCGAACCGGAACCCGTCAATAAGAATCTGCAGGGGCCGACCGGTGGGGTACAGAGAGCTTGCACCGCTAGTTGCGTTGGCCGATCCCCCGGTGAACGAGGATGTAGTGAAGAGACTTTCTGCGCCAGCTGCAACAACCACAGCATCAAATTGGATTGCATCTGAAGCAGAGTAGGTCTGGTCGACACCGTCGGCCAGACGTTCTGCGACAACGACCACATCGACACCAGCGTCGGACAGGCGGTCGCGGAGGGTGGAAGCTCCATCAACCGAGGCTGGGTGCTGGACAGAAGCAAGGAAGCCGACCTTGAGGCCATCGAGCTTCTTCAGCTTGGTTCCAAAAGTGCCCACGTTGACGGTCTTGTTGTTGTGATAGAAGGTCGGGTCGGGGTCAGGTTCGGCGACACCAATAGCGCGTGCAACGCGTCGTGCAATGTCGTTGTCGATACGGTTCAACTGGATGATGACATTGTTTCTCACGATGGAAGACTTGACGTTTGCGTTTTCGAAGCGGATGGCGTCAATAAGGAACTGCTGCTCGGCAGGAACCAGAGAATTGTAGAAGAGACGCGGCTGAGACCAGACATCCTCAAAGGTTGGGCTGACCGCACGGATAAGTTTGCCGCTCGCTTTACGGCCAGGAGCTGTGAAGAAGCCGTCGCCGACGGTCTGGTTGGCTTGTTTGGGCGAACCGTTGATGGGAGTCTTGGGCGAGTACGCGTGAGGGTTGAGGGGGATGAACATTTGGCCTGCACAGAAGTGAAAAGATTAGAATGGGGCACTGACATCAAAGTTAGAGAAGTCTCACCTGCTCCATCGCGATTGTTGTTGTGGACGGGAACGCGAGGCTGGTTGATGGGGAGCTGTTCAAAGTTGGGGCCACCGTGACGGTTCAGCTGAGTGTCCAGGTAGGAGAACAGGCGGCCTTGCAGGAGAGGGTCTTCAGTGAAGTCAACACCGCGGACAATGTGACCAGGTTGGAACTATTTGCAGTCAGCCTAAACATTTATGCTTTATCAGCTTCCCGATGGCACTATACCATTACTTGTTCGGTCTCAGCGAAATAGTTGCGAGGGTTGCGGTTCAGCTGCATCTTGCCCAACTTGGTAATGGGCACGAGTTCCTCAGGCACGATCTTGGTGGGGTCAAACAGGTCAAAACCAAACCGCAGTTGGTCCTCTTCATCCATGATTTGAACGCCGAGCTGATTGAATTAGCTTCTTGGATGTTCTTTTTGATGTTTACGAAACCATTGGGAAAGGATGAAGACGGAACACGACTTACTTCCCACTCAGGATAGCGTCCAGCCTCGATTGCGTCGTGCAAATCCTGACGCATGAAGTCGGGATTCTTGCCAGATGTTTGCTGGGCCTCTTCCCAGACCATGCTAGCCTTGCCTTGCAATGACGTCCAGTGAAATTTGACCAGCTTGGACGCACCGTCATCTGTGACGAAACGGAACGTATGCACACCAAATCCATCGACATATCGGAAAGAACGAGGAATTCCGTGACCAGACATAGCCCAGAACAGCGTGTGCAACGCGCTTGGCTGCTGGCTGAAGAAGTCCCAAGCCGAGTCATGAGCTGTGGCGGCCTGAGGGATTTCATTGTCACCTCTGGGCTTGACGGCGTGGATCAGATCGGGGAAGAGGATAGCATCCTGGATGAAGAATACAGGGATATTGTTTCCAACGATATCTATAGCGGTCAGGCAACGATGTGCATGTGCGAAATGAATCGCCAAACGTACCGAAATTGCCCTCATCGGTATAGAAACGAGTCGCAAAACCGTGAACGTCGCGAGCCAGATCCGAACTGCCCCTGCTTCCGGCAACGGTCGAAAAACGGACAAACACTGGAGTTTCCTTGCCTTCCTTGGCCAGGAAAGAAGCCGCAGTGATGTTAGAGAAGTCGCCATATGAGGTAAAAACTCCATGGGCACCAGCGCCACGCGCATGGACCGCACGCTCAGGAACCTGTATACTCAGTCAGATCATCGGGTTCATCACAGGAAAAGCGATGTAAAATGTTGGTCTCATACCCGTTCATGGTCGAAGCGCTGGATCTTCTGGCGGAAAATGAAATCTTCGAGCAGGGTGGGACCACGATCTCCGACACTGAGACTGTTCTGGTCTTCGATAGGGCCGCCGACGTCAGTCGTCATGAAGGTACCATTGTCGCTGAGATAATACTGGGACAAGAATTTCTCTGTGGCGTCGGCAGCGTCGCCATCGGATAGCTCATCGCGACGGTTGAGCTCGCCGGTCATGTAGGGACAGACGGCATTGGCGACGCCAATGAGGCTGGGGATAAGAGTGAGACGCATTCTTGATGAGTCCCCGATCTGCGACGAGAGAGGATGCAGAAAACGCGTTTGATTGGGCGTGATGCTTGATCATCAGAGGGATCGGAACGTTGGAAGGGGAGCAAGAGGCCTGTTTATATGTGCATCGAACCAACTGCTGCTCGGTATCAGCAGGGGGGTGCGGATCACCACATGGGACACAACAATACCAAGAACCACTAATCAGGGAAGTCAGACCGATCGATACTGCGGATATGGTATTATGCAGGCCAAACGGTCTAGAAATTGCAGCAAGGTACGTGATACAGTGGAGTGCCAACGGCCTGATGGAGCTGTGATGATCCTTGAACTAGTACTGTCTACTACCTTAGTTACTGAGTCCTGACTCTTGGTTTGTTACAAAGAAGGAGCAGCCGGCGAGAACGAGTCAGATTCTCCCATTTAGTCAGTCACAAACAAACAGTGCATCCTCCAATGGAAGGTGCGGGCTGCAGCAGATCCATTCTTGGCAGGAATGGTCATTTCGCTGGTGAAGAAGATGATCATCAGCTCCAGTTGACTGTGGTCGCAAAATCTGCAGTACCATTTCATTACTATCTATGAGATATGTACTTTGCTGAGGTTCTCACTGAGGAAGTGGTCGAGGCCGCGATGCTTGGTAATAGCATTGGTCTGGGCACCTCAACAGACGGCCGGGGATGAAGCGTCCAGCGTCAACATCCCCACTTCGACGATGGCCTTTACTTGTTCGGATGTCGATGGCTTCACCTTGGCAAGTCTCACACCAGACAGCATCCATCCTGACGATCATTCCACTTTGCTCAGTGTCCACTCACCGTCCAGTCACCGGTCATGACGTTGTTGCGCTGGGCAATTCCTTGCCTTATCTGACTTTTCCGTATCGCGATTTCTGTAGCATTCGATCTCTCTCATACCAACTTTATCGCATCATACTATATTTTGTTGTTGCACAGTTCTTTCGGATATTCCTCGGCATGTCCGGTTCCTGAATTTCTGCCTCGGGATCAACGAGTGATAAAGTAGAGACGATCACTGGATGCACTCTGCGATCCTTGAAGTCCAAATGAAAAGCACGCATATGCGGTCAGTCCCGTGCTCAGGCAAGGCGATGCTTATGGATGTCTATTTTTAAACATCCTGGTCAATCAACATCAAAGATACTTGCATAAGGCATCTTACACCGTAACTTTGTAGGCTGCTTTGACTTAACAAGATACCGCACATAGGTACTCAGTATCCGACCGTATGATCAGTCAGGAATGCACGCAATGCAACTATAAGAGCCAAGAAGTCACCCAATGCACTTGATGTGCATTGTCACAATGGCATACCAGCGGATTGGCGGGAAAAGACAAGGTCTCTCTGTCCCGGTGATTTTTAGCGTTGTAGTCTAATGATCTCCTCCATACACGACAATGTAGCTCCTTGAGCTAATTTGTTAGTCGAAACTGCGGCAATTAATCCTCCAGTCCATCTTGACCGGGTCTCAAGTCTCAACAGCATTCCTGCCCCTTACTTACCAGACGTGCATGGTCGAGTCTAGTTTGAAACTCAATTGCTCCATGAACAAAAGAACTGCTCCCACATATCCACTGCCCTATTGAATGATCAATATTCAGTCACAATGAAGTCCGGTCAACTGATCTCACCTCTCTCCTTCTACTGCCAAGCATCCCCGCGCCTTGGCTTATGCAATAGCCCAGGCTATCACCAAAGGACCGATGAAGGAGCCGATTAAAATAGCACTGGCCTAGCTAGCTGTCACCCTTGGCCAGTACTAGTGTAAGTAGATATAGTTTAGGTTTCTCATTGGCCCCATAGAAAGTGGGCGGGAAGCCATCGCCGTAGACCTAGATAGACAAAAGGGCCGATAGCTAGCAGAGGCAACTTAGCACTTAGCAGAGATGATGCTAGGGCTAGGAGCGAATAGAATCAGCTGTATGACATACCTCCATGAAATTCATAAAGATAATGACCTAGCGTATAATGCCATTTCTTGTCCCATCCTTAGATGAGAAGCCTAATTAAGCGAAGCAGTTCTTGCTTCTAACATGGATTTTCCCAGTCAGTGCCCATGTTATGGACCATGGTATAGAGATAAAGACAGAAAAATACTTGAAATCGGATTAAAGCCATAATACTGAGTGATGAGTGAGGCTCTATTGTTCAGTCACACCCGACATTGCCTTCCATGTCATGCACTTAACAATTATGTTCCCAAACAACAACCTATGTTTTCTAGTTCCTTCACAACTTACTCCGCCCTTCTTGGAGACATAAAAACCCCCAACTCCTCTCTCCCTCTCGCTCATCAATTTGATCGGATTGAGTCGGCCTATTTCTAATCGAAGATTGATCCGTTCTCATCAGACAAGGTTCTCCTTAGAGTTACCCTTCTTTTCGGTTACACACCTCCACCATGTCAGAGACTAGAGAATCTCACTCCCGCCGCGAGATGCGTGAGGCGTTGAGGAACATGGCGCTGAGCGTTCAGCGCCTTGGAGTTGATGAGTTAGACCTGCAGCAACTCAAAAGCCTCAATATCCGCATTGATCTCATGACATTAGACGAAGCATCGCCCCATAAGCTGTCTTCACTCCCTAGGCCACTTAATTCCGGATCCCAATACAGATGCGCTCGGGGGTTGCTTATAATAGCCTAGATGACAAAACAGAACATTCTTTCCCTCATCCCGTCGATCGCGCATATGCGATGAATATACATCTTTCGAATTTATATTTCCTACTGCGATTGATACGCCAAAGGGGAGGGGTCCCTTGGACTTCGAAGTGGTAAGCAACCCACCATGTATTTCGAGCCTGTTCTTCACCTAACGTGCACCTACCTTAGTGTCAGACTACCCATTCAAGGGCTTGTATAGGCATGAGCAGCCCGAGTTCGGGTGCTACCATATAACAGATCTGAATGGCTCGAAGGCCATCATGTACAGTAACTTGGTCACAACAGATCCCACAATCCTCTGCGGCAAGTTGCTCCCGACTCTCCAAATCATGCTTATACAGCTCTAAAAGCCGCGGTTCATTCATCAAATGGTCTCACCAGTAACTATACAATCATTCTTGTCCATGGCCCAACATTCCACTGTCCAATACTGACATATGTTACATGTCTTAATTTTCTCGCTCATGGGGCTGCAGGCCCGAGGAACTGAAGCCTATTCCAGGGTCAGACTCTGGTCTTGCGTCCAACCGAGATGTATGATTTCAGCCACGGGAATATCGCAAGAACCTGGCACGTTGGATACTATTCTGCGGCATATCATATGAACCATGATTTCACGCTGCCAGGACTCAATGTTTCATGCCATTTTGTGGTGGTTGGTATGGAAACAAGTCTGTGTGCACATGGCATGGAAGGCAAAATATTATAGGACAGCTACAGCAAAGGTGTAGCTGCTGTGGAATACTTGCTTGTTAAGTAGTTTAGCCAGTGCATTTAGTTAGTAGTCATTCTATCTACTCGCGTAGAATTATATAATCTAATTAATCAAAGCGTTAACTCTCCTTATTCTAATCTCGACAGTGAATGGTTGCCTGCATGGCCGGAATAGTCGGATTTGGAAGATGATCGATCTCATCAAACCATGTGGAGAATAACTATGACATTGATCGGCAGCGATGGCTCAGCTGAAAACTGAAGGGTCCAGCCAAACAACTACTTATTAAATTGCGGGATGTTTTTCAGAAAGTGTCTATCTACGGATTGACAGGAGTAAGACCTCCTGATAGACCTATTCCTTCTTGATGGCCGTCTGGTCATAGCGACAGCATCAGAAAGAGGATGCCAAAGGGATCATGCAGTATGTCGTAAGTTCGGGTCTCCTAAATGAACTCGCTGGGTAATGCAGTCTAAGGTACTCTGTAAGTTTTCATCCCATCAGCCATGTCGGATCAGTGCTTAAGGATCGACAATGTCTTCCCCAAAACGAGCAATGCTTGAGATCGTGAGTTCGTCGTGGCGCCTATAGTTCGCCCACCCCCCGCTCCATCGGGAAACGTGCAATGGAGATCTTTTCCGTTTTGCGTTTTTCCTTCTCTCAAGGGGTATCGTTGGCGTAGATGGTGCTGTCCGATCCACGAGTTTGACAAATCCAGTGATGGTGACATTTGAATGCAGAGTATAAATCTGCCATGCTTCCCCTGTCCCGGTTCTGTTTCTCCTCGGTCCATGATTCGACCCATCGGTTGATTTTGATCCGGACCCCCTTAATCCCTCGATAAATCATCGTGCTCAAGTCAGCACTGTCTTTGGCCTTCCTGGCAGCTTCTTCTCTAGCTGTTGACCCTGCTGCGGTCTACACTGGCGGATACTCTGGGGGCGGCGTTCAGCTCCGGATTGGCAATGGAGGAGCTGGCCAGAGTGGCTTGATCAAGGGTATACCTGGAAATCACCTCGTCCGTCCATGACTGGCCTTCTGACTCTATCAATAGCTCTCGCCGATGCCTTCATCCAGTCCAGCGTCAAGAACGGCTCCTCTCCATTCAAAGTGGCCTGGTACAAGAGCGACACCACCGAGTCCACCAACTACCTCAAGGACGACACCGTCGATGTTGGCATTACCTATACCCCCGCTGCTGAAGAGATCGCCATCAAGCAGGGTGTCGCCAAAAGCCCGGCGTGATACGCCTGGCGCGACCACTTTATGCTCGTTGGACCACCCTCCAACCCAGCCAGACTCAACAAGGCCGACGACATCAAGTCCATGTTCTCCAACATCTATGCCATTGCATCCGCTGGCGACGCGGCCAACGTCACCACTCCCGTTCACTTCCTGACTCGCTATGACAAGTCAGCTACCAACATCAAGGACTCCCAGCTGTGGATTGAGATCGGACAGGTCAGTCATACCACTTCAGCTTATCCGGATACCTTGACTGACAGAGACACCAGGTCCCTTGGGCGACTGCATACTCCACCTGGTATCACCAATACATTGCCTATCCCATTCAGGCCCTGACTGCGGCCATTCTCCTCGAGGAATATACCATCACCGACCGCGGCACCTACCTCTCCATCGACCAGGAGCTTGCCAACAAGACCACCATTTACAAGGCTGCCACCGACGATGCCGCCGATCCTCTGCTCAACCCGGCGCACATGCTCGTCGACAAGAAGGCAACCAACATGAAGATGGCTGACAAGTTCACTCAGTGGGTGATCAGTGCCGAAGGTCAGGCTGTCATCACTGGCTTCAAGAAGAACGAAAAGCAGTTGTATACTGCTGCGCCTGCTAATAAAACTGCTCCGTTTTAAGTTTTCTAAAAGTGGTTTGAATATAGAATAGCCATTACCAGCTTAATATCTCTATTCTTAATGATTCTAATAATAATTCTGCAGCTAATTTGGGTGCATATTTGCAGTGCTAGCCTACTATAAGTGTTTAAGACTACCTTTATATGGAAACAGGAGAAAGATGAGATAAGAGAATACTTGTTGTATTGATGATACTATCTAGGAAGCTATTGAGAGAGCAGAAGAATGTAGAGGTGGTGTAGTGAATCGCGCTATACTACATTGGGAAGTGTAGGTGACCAAGCACCTGCGCTGACACCCCCCTTGCTCAGTGCCAGAGCCTGTAAGTATACTTATTATATTTCTGTATTAGGTAGGTGTGATATCTACCATGCTAAGCTGGCGTATGAAATACGCAAAGTTTATCTTTGCTAGAGGCTTTATAAGGCCATCTGTGGCCTGATCTATAGTGGGCATATGTGTAAGGGGCCAAAGCCCTCTTTATTGAATCTAACGATATCAACCAAAGAAATGGAACCGTTGGAGGGAGAAAGGGAAAACAGAGAGAGATGCCCACGAAGATGGGGATCGAGTAGGCGAACATGAGAGAATCGGGAAGCGCCAAGTGTCCAATTAGGATGGCTCAGGGGCCAACTATATATAGGCTGACTAAGTCGGGACGCTAAACCTAAACGGGATGGAATCCTGACACCCCCCCTCGGACCGACT